TCTCTCTCTCTCTCTCTCTCTCTCTCTCTCTCTCTCTCTCTCTCTCTCTCTCTCTCTCTCTCCCTCGCCCGCAGCATCTTTCGCAACTCCGAGATGAAATTCTCTTCTCGTCTACAGATGTGGGAGGATTTCCGGCTTAATTTGGCACCCACCGCATTTGTCGGAATTCCAAGCCCGCACTCCGTCATTCCCAGGACTTGTGGTCGTAATACCCTTCTTCCTTCAGTCATTCCTGCACATGTCTCCTACGCAGCTGTTAGGTGAGCATTTGGCTCACAGGTGTGACTTTGGCTCACAGGTGTGCCTTACAGGGATAGTTTAGGTGGGTTCTGTGGGAAATATGACAGATGTGCCTTTCTGTGAGTGAAACGGTATTTCATTCAGTGGTTATGGAACATGCATGGCTTTTAGATACATAGGAACATAAACATTAACCTACAGAAAGCCTATTGGCCCATTCGTGGCAGCTCCTACTTATATCCACCCAAACATATATATATATATATATATATATATATATATATATATATATATATATATATATATATATATATATATATATATATATAAATGTCTAACCTACGCCTGAAACAATCAAATGATTCCACGTTAATTGTCTTACTCAACAACCCTGTTTTCTAACCAACTTTCACCAAAGACTTCGTTAAATTTAAACTAGCAGGTTTGTGACATTGTGCACCTTGATTTTAACCAAGACTTTGACACACTACCACACGAACGAGAGACACTCAGTATTGGGGTTGTTATCTTAAGTTAGACAAGGGCATGGTTATATCTAAGGAAACAAAGAGTTAGTATAAATGGACTTAAGTCAGAGTGGGAAACCGTTGTTGGTGAAGTGCCTCAAGGCTGTGTATTGGAACCTCTGTTGTTTACCAAATATGTAAGTGATAGAGATTCAGGAATGAGCAGGAATATTTGCAGATTTGCAAATGATACGAAATTTGCGATATAAATAAATTAATAACTCCGAATCGCTTCAAGACGATCTAGTTAGACTTTTGAAATGGTGGGAAGATTGGCTGATGCAGTTTTATGCTGATAAATATATGGTTATGAGGCAAGGTAATGATAATAGAATTACAACACATCAGCTGGATAGTACTGAAAGGCCTAATTCTGATTTCGAAAAAAATCTGGAGTCATGATTAGTAGAATTTTAAAGCCAAAAAATCAATGTAAAAATGTTCGAAATAAGGCAAATAGGACACTAGGACTTATTTCTAGAAACGTTAGCAGCAAAAACACCTGGTGATACCCTTCAGCTGTATCTTACTCTTGTAAGACCCCCATTTAGATTATGCACTTCAATTTTGGTAGCAATGCAATTAATTGAACATAAATTCCCTTGGCGCGTTCAGCGAAGGATGGCAAAGTTACTCTCACAAATTAGAAACCTTCCTAATAAGAGTCTGAAAAAAAGTTTAATTTACACTCTCAAGAAACCAGTAAAGTTATGGGAAATACGATAGAGGTGTACAAAGTGGACGAACGGTAATAACAACGAGAATATCAATATGGAATCAACACAAAATAGAACAGGAAGCAATGGATATAAATGATAAAAGTTTACGTTTAGAAAAGACCTGGGTAAATACTGGTTTGGAAACATGGGTTGGTAATTTGTGGAACAAATTACCGGATAATTGGGACCCTGGGTAATGGACTTGGGAACACTGGATTGTTTCAAACGTAGATTAGACATTATATATATATATATATATATATATATATATATATATATATATATATATATATATATATATATATATATATATATATATATATATATAATGAATTTGGGTGGATATGTGCCAATAGGTTTTCTACATCATCTGTCATCCACCAGGTAACCATGACGACCACAGACTCCATCCACCAGGTAACCATGACGACCACAGACTCCATCCACCAGGTTACCATGACGACCACAGACTCCATCCACCAGGTTACCATGACGACCACAGACTCCATCCACCAGGTTACCATGACGACCACAGACTCCATCCACCAGGTTACCATGACGACCACTCCAGCTCCTCTCGTCTCCTCATCTTTCTTAAGCATCATCATCAAAACTCAGGTCTACCTTGACCCAATATTTTTTCTGTGATGTAAATATTTCACTTTTAACTTCGATATGTTAAAGAATTCCAGTCTTATTAAACTTTGTTTTATTAACAAAGAAATACCGGCGGAAGATCATCATGATATTGATGATAACGATAACATTATGATACAGATAACAGGAGTTATCTCCCATGGGTAAATGGGAATTCACCAGTTTAGTTGTTCTTATGATTTTACGAATGAAAAATGAAATACATATTGCACAAATAACATAGCATCCCAGGCCAAGGAGCAACCCTAGCTGATCTGCTTGATACCTGCTTGATATGGTGTTCTGGGAGTTCTTTTACTCCCCAAGCCCGGCCCGAGGCCAGGCTCGACTTGTGAGACTGTGATCAATCAGAGACTGTGATCAATCAGAGACTGTGATCAATCAGAGACTGTGATCAATCAGAGACTGTGATCAATAGCCATACAAGAACAATCTACAAATAACATAGTATCCAAGGTCAAGGATTAATCCAAGCTGTTCTTTGATCAAATGAGAAGGATTATGTTAATCAATAGCCAAGTGACTAGGTCAAACAAGAGGTAGGGGGGGCGGGGAACAATATTTCTAAAATACACCTTTCCAGAGGGAGGAATTGCCCAGCAGGTGGAAGACGGCTGATGCTGTAGACTATATAAGATAAAGGAGGGACTGGAAGCGAGGAATGGCAGGCAGGAGTCGCTAACAAGCATGACCAGAAGAAAGAACACTTCAAAGAATACAAATGAAAAGACAACTAATTCTTTCCAGATGTTCCAGTAAAGTAAATAGTCTCTACCGTGGCTCTACTGCAGGGAAACAGAGAGAGAGACAAATCTACTAGAGTTCAAAGACACTCATTCAGGGTCGTGAGGTATGGGTGAAGTAATTTTTCTAAGCTGGCAAAGCCTTTAGACACAATTTTGCATTAGTGGATATTTTAAAACATTGGATAAAGACGTTAGTTTGAATCGACTTGAGAATGGTCCAGGACGGACCGAAACGTCGTCGTCCCTTCACCTTCTAGTGTGTGGTCTGGTCAACTCAATTGGATAAAGACATTGGAGTTACCAGGAGATCACAGTACTCTGCGAGAGAGTCCCTAGCAGACAGGAGACAGAGAATCACAGCCAGGAGTAAGAAATTACGTATGTTAACTATTCAATTCCCTCAAGGAACTCACTCAGGAACTATTTTTTTCCCCTGAAACCAATAATCAAACACTGGGGGATAAATTCCAATCAACATTTGCATATAATATAATACCTAATGAGAATAATCATAGCAGACATATATTTTACAGAATATTCCATTAGGACGCAGACAGCCCCACCCCAGAGCCACACATAAACAGGATAACCTGAATGGCACAATGGAAGCAGACAAATATCCACATGGCTTTCAGGACCCATCAGGGAACGACATTCAGAGCACAGCACCCCACCCACGCAAGACCTCTCCCGGTGTACACAGAATCCTTACTTTAAGAAACACAAGAGGAAAATTGAAAAGCATGGAAGCTTGCACCGAAGCGTTTCCGAGAAATGCGTGGGATGGAATACGATGAATGATTAAAGGGGCAAACCAGACGAGGCAAGGCAGAAAGAGATAGTGAAGGAGAGAGAGAGAGAGAGAGAGAGAGAGAGAGAGAGAGAGAGAGAGAGAGAGAGAGAGAGAGAGAGAGAGAGAGAGAGAGAGAGAGAGAGAGAGAGATGATTCGCATTCTGAAAATGTTTGTTCAACTCATAGATACGCGGGCATTAATCATATCAACCAATATCATGAAGACTCCGACACACGTTCCTATCTGTTCATCCGAACATTTGTTCGTCTGAACGTCTATCTGTTCAACTGTATACTTATTGACCTGAACGCTTTAATTAACATATTTCCACTTGCATACCTGATCATCTACATGTTAATCACTGTGTACATTTACATAATGTTAAAGCTGTTCATCGGTTTGACTTATACATCTGTTCAAAACACACACCTGTAGAAGTAGCACATATGTGCTCACACAACTGGATACCTCAGCACTAGTTCACAGACACACACACCTGTTCTCATGCATAGTTGTTCATCTACACACATGTTCACATGTATATCTGTTTACCAACACACCTTTCAACAAATAACATCTGTTCACCTACACACCTGCTTTTCTCAACAACTGCTAACCTACACACACCTGTTGACATTTTCACCTGTTTACTAACATATTTTCACAACATATCTCCTACACCTACACCTGTTCACTGCACACATGTTTACGGTGTACGTAACCAAAGGAATTGAACATAATTTAAAACTGTCAAAAAAATCGAGTTGGAGAACCAAAATTCTCTACGAAAAAAAATGGAGAAAAAAATAGGTTTCCCCAACTCTCTCTCTCTCTCTTCACTCACAAACTTGTAAGGAAACTTTCCTGGGGAGAAGTCAGAGAAAGATTTATTTTGTCAGTACAAGCGTGTTTGTTTAGGTTGTTGCTGCACTTGTTCTGTTAGAATTGATCGGTCATTAGTGTCTGTCTGTCTGTCTGTCTGTTTGGCTAACTTGCTGCCTGGATGGAGCTGCCTCTCACTCTATCCCTCACTCTCTCTCTCTCTCTCTCTCTCTCTCTCTCCCTCTCTCAACTCTCTCTCTCCTCTCTCTCTCTCTCTCTCTCTCTCTCTCTCCTCTCCTCTCTCTCCTC